CGGTTCCTCCCGAGGGCAAGAAATGCTGGTCCGAGCGTCGGACGCAAAACCTCTTCCTCTTCCTCTTCCTCCAGCCATGGCCGCGCCGGCCTTTCAGCCTTGGTGTGCTCTCCTGCCCAGTTCTGCAGAGCTAAACCCCGTGCAGCCGAAGAGTGAGACAGCCCAGCTGCTGCTCTGCCACCCCAACTGCCACCCCCACTGTCACCACCACTGCCAACCCCACCCCCACTGTCACCCTGACTGTCACCCTGGCTGGGACCCAGCGGTGGGACCACGAGGCTCCACGCCGAGCCGGGTGCTGGCAAAGGGCTGCGGCTGCTTGGCAAAGGTGCAGGAATCAGCCCAAATGGCACACGTGCAATGTGGGGAAAAAAAAAAGAATGTGACCCATCTTCCTGATTTTTCACAGGGCAAATTGAAGGATTGTTTTCTGGGTGGAAGCCCCAGGGGTGGTTTCCTTGCCAAGGAGATGCCAGACAGAGCAGCCGGGCGCTCGGTGCCTCGAGCGGGTATTTCATGTCCCGGACCTGCCCTGCAACGTGGGTGGAAGTTGCAGCCATGGGAATGGTGCCGTGCAAAGTGCTCCGAGAGCTGCTGAGTGTGGGGCAGAGCCCTGGAGGGGTTTGGGCAGCCTGAGACCCCCTGGCCCTGCTCTCTTGGAAGCTGGAGCGGGGATGTCCCCGGGCAGTGGCTATCCTCTGGCCCCGGGTTGTTCCCTTCCCACCATGCACGACTTTCAGGCTGGGTTTATTTGCTGCAGGGAGGATGCAGCATCCCGTCCCTCCGGTGTCCTGGGCACGTTCCCTCTCCAGAAGGGACGAGTGTTGTTCTGAGACATAAATGCACTTAATGCATTAGCAGTTTTTCTTGAGCCCTGGACTTAAGCCCGTGATGAGCTCAGAGGCCTCGCACTGAAAACATCTCTTGAAGCACTCAGAGAAAACACGGAGCAGGCGCCAATATCTGGGCAGCGAGCCCTTCTTGGGCCCCTGGGAGAACTGTCCTTGCCTTTCCCTTGGAAATGGCCCCACCACCACTCACCCATTAGCTTTTGTCCCTATTTCTGGAAGAAAGATCCCCCCAAGGGATTTTTTTATGTTGCCAGCACTGCGTCACGACAGTGCCGGGCTCTGTCACTTCCTGACGTCTCATGATTTGTCATTGTCTCTCTCTCCTCGCCTGGTCCTTGCCACCATCTCTCATCCCGGATGGGTCCCCAGGAAGGGGCTGGTGTTGGGGTGGCCACGCTGGGCTGGATGTGGCAGCTTGTCTCCCTGGGGAGATGCCGCTCTGTATCCAGCCTAAGTAATCCCTCGCTCCTGCCAGATGCCATCCCTCCTTCCATATATCCCGGCTCCTTGGCACCCAGGAACATCCCTCCGTCCCCTGAACTCCCCTGCTGATGGCTGCAGGCAGAGTGGGGAGCCCCGGGTGGATCCCATGTTGCTGGGAGCTGCCCCCTCCTGTCTCCCGCTGCCCCAGCTCAGCACCCACGTTGGAACGGGGAATTGGGAAAAGGCTGGGCGGGATGTGGGGCTGCTGGATTTGGGGCTCATGGCTGTGCCTGGGTTACCTCCCCGAGAGCACCACGGGGTTTGCAATGACCCGTCTCTCTCCTGGGGCATCTACTGGTTGTGGGGTGGAAACTCAAAGTTCCTGTCCCTGCCGCCCCGTGGGTGCTGCTACCTCACGGCTGTGGCACAACCACGGGGGGCAGGGG